GGCACTGAAAAAAGTGACTTATGACCATTTTTCACACTTACGACTGTTGCAGCATCCCCACAGTCATGAGAGGCCAGGCGAGGAGATGCGTGCCTCGATATGAGTGATGTTGAGCTGGCCACACCCAGACAATAACATGACCACCAAGCCACACCCACCCAGTCACCTGATCACCAAGCCACGCCCACCACCTAAGCCACGCCCACAGAACCAGTTGTTAAAAATTTGAATCCCACTCCTGAGTACATCCCTTTGCTGTTTACTCAGAAGTCAGCCCCACAGTTAGTGAGACATTTTGTCAAACCAGCATATATAATGTAATTGCCTATGGGTATGATCTTATTTTAGGGAGCATTCTCTTTGGGATAAGACATATTAAACTCAGTTGAACTTTCGTCTAAGTAGATTACATAAAATTGCTCTGATGATCACAATACAACCGACAGAAGCATATTTTCTGTGTCTAATAAATGACCTGCAGTATGATCAGCAACAATTCAATTTCAGCAAAAATAAATTTGTTGGTAATAATCACTTTGTCTCAGAAGATCTCCAGATCTTTAATCGCTGCCAATGTAGAATCATACTCCATTTAATATAAACAATTTAAAAAATAAAGGGTATATATGCTTTCCGAAATTTTGGATAGTGCTTAAATTTGTTTAAGTAATATTCGTGGCACAAAACAGCACTAACTGCCTGATTAAAAAAGACATATACTACCACCAGCCACCAAGTTAAGTTATAAAATCCAAATGTGACAGCCATTGATGTATATATGAGAAATTCTGCAAAATAATGAGGACTGGACACCAGTTCAAACCAGTCACCGAAAGGAATGCTATGATCCAAACTGGAGACCTTTCCTAAAAGAAATATAAAAATAAAAAAATTAGCTGTTGAATTTAGAAAGGTGAGCAGAACTAGCAGTGTAATTAGATAATGAAAGTTGGGAAAGGCTACAACTTTAATAAATCCATTGGCTAAATTTCACCCTTTTCCCAACCATACCTTTTTTTTCCCCCATTTAGTGACTGTAATCTGGTCCAGTCACTTTATCGTTAAGCAAAATAGTTGATAACAGAATATGTGTCTGAGAGCGCAAGGGAAGAGATACTATGAGAATCCTCGACTGCTGCTACATCATTCAGATAAAATTCTCTGTACAGTGTCATGTCCCCGGCCTGGTTTTTTTCCCCCCATTTTTGAATCTCCACAGAGGCCAGAGAGATTGTTTAAAGAGCTGCTACCTGAAACTGACCAGACCTTAATCAGTTTTGCATAGGCGGCTTTTGTTGTCAGATGCAGGAAATCTGGTCATAAATGCACACACTACTCTGAAAATAATTTACTCTCTTATCTCGTCTTTATTACTGTTTGCAAGTTATCTATAAATACTATATTTGTGAATGGGCACTAACCAAGATAGATTGCTAATCAACAACTATATTTGTTTCCAAGACAAAACGAAGTGCCTATTTTGATCAATTCAGAGGATCTTCTTCACTATGATCAGATCTGTTTGGTTTTTTTCGGTAACAAAAAATCCCCATGGTTAACGTGAGTGACAGGACATCCAATTTGGCCAAAGAACCTGTTTTCCTGGATTATATGATATATTAATGGTTGTGCCTCTGGACACATCCAACATATGTTGTTTCACGTGTTAGACACTGTGCTTGTAAAAAACTAAACATTTTCCCAAGTAGATAGTTTAGCTGAATCTTGCAATCATCCGGTTTCAAACTATGTTCAACACCAAGAGCCACCACCCCAGCTAACATAGCCAATGAAATGAAATTTGCTCTTAACTCTTTAGCTATAGTCGAAACTCCCCAGGCCCTAACAGTGGGTCTTGTCCAAGTGGCCTTGGAGATAGGCCAAAACTAGGATGCTAGTGAGAGGTGCCAAGAAATCTCTCCATCCAAAACATGTGTTTCTACTATTGTTTCTCACAATAACTCCTTTCTTTTGGTCTCAATATAAAACTGCAGAGAATGCAAAGAAGGGCAATGAGGCGAGAAAGTTTGGAGTGATTGGGCTCAACAATCCTCCATCATACATATATTTGGTTCCTTATGTTGAATCCTCTGCCCTTTTACATACAAGATCAGAATATGTATGCATTAGGCATGTGCAGCAGTTTGGATCCCAAGCCGAAAAAGATGGCTTGAATGGAATAAATATGCAGATCCTCCTTAAGAGAAACTCTGTCTTCTGGGCTCCCATGGAACCTACTCAGTCACAGGAAAATACTGTTTTGACTTAAAAGAAATGCCAACAGAGTACAAACAAAGTGCTGTAGGACAGATATGGGTTCATGGTTGTTGGCCCGTTATTAACTCAAGCTCAACTTTTTCTGGGGTTGGTTGCTCCCATACAACCCCAGGATAATAACCAATGTTTTAAGGAGATATCCACAGGGTACAGTGTGTAGTTAAGCTTGCTCCAGAGCATCTTTTGTCTTGGCGTTTGAAGAACTAACATCCCTAATCTGGATTTAATAACCTAAATTGTTTGTTCTGTATGCTTTCTCCCCAAGTATCACCAATGTTCTTTGAGCGACACACCAAGGATTGCAACAGGGGCTATACCTGTGATCGCAAACCTAGGGCATGCTTCCTGGAAGTGGCACGCAGAGCCACCTCTCGGGGCACACCAGCTGTCATCCATTGCTCATCTGGGTTCTAGCATGCGCATGCACGCCAGCCAGCTAGTCTCCGCACACATGGGAACACCGAAAACTGGAAGGGCAGCTCCCCAGTATGCATGCGCAGGCTGGGAAGCTGAGCTTCCGGTTTCCAGCGCATGCATGCATGCATGCCGGCTTCTTGGCCTTCCGGTTTCTGGTGCATATATGCGCAAGAAGATCACCTGGCCAGTGCGCATGCATGCGCTGGAAAGTGGAAGCTTCCGGCCCACGTATGCATGCCAGGGAACTGCTCTTCCGGTTTCCGGCGCTCCTGAAAGGTTCGCCAACACTGGGCTATACTCAGAGGTGGGATTCAAAATTTTTTAAGAACCAGCTCTGTGGGCGTGGCTTGGTTGGTGGGCATGGCTTAGTGGTCATGTGACTGGGTAGACATGGTTTGGTGGTCATGTTATTGGCTGGGCGTGGCCAACTCAATATCACTCACATCGAGG